GTTAGTTTAGACTGAGAAACCTCTTCCTTAAAGAATATCACATCTTCCGTATTTTTTTATTTGATTTTCTCTACACATTTTATCTACTGTTACTGTTATATCGTTCCTACGCTTTTTTTATTTGAAAACATAAGGTCAATAAAACTTTTTATTAACCTCATATTTTCAAATTAAAACACAATTTTCTTTCTCCCATATCATGTTCATTCATTTTATGAACAAATTCATTTGCACAATAACCCAATAGCCCTCATTTGGCCTGCTTTTCGCTCTTTTCCTAACTTTAAAGTTTAATAGCTAAGTATGACTTGACACTCAAGCACCACTTTATAATGCTCTCCAATCGAAGATAAAGACTTAAGACAAACATACTATAGATTCACTTTCAAAAGTACGTCAAATAACTTTTATTTTTCCATTTCCGTTAATTTTTAACAACTTACAATAAATGGATACATTCCTTTTGTATTTTTAAAATTAAGCATACACTTAGAAGCTATTTGTCTTTAATCACAATACATGTTAAAATAATTTCTTAAAATTTATAAAAATAAACACAAAATCACTTTCAGCACTTAATTAAGAGAAATTAGTAGCACTCTAAATGTAAATATGATCCAGATACCGCTATCATGAGAATAAAAATTAAAGTCTAGAATCTATGGAACAAAATTAAATAAATATCTGGGATATCTCGTTCTTTACACATGTCGAAATATATTATTTGCAAACATTAACCATCAAATATAAATGAACATATCATCTTTACTGTTTTTCTATTTTGTGTTGATAACAATAGAAATGCTCCAAACGACCATTCGGATAACGAGCAAAGGCACTGGAAATGAAATTTCTTACAGTATTAACTCAAGATTATAGCAACCTTCTTATCTACAAGAGCATCACATTCCAGATAATATGAACAGCATTATACGAATTACGCAATTTGAATGTTAGAATGTAATTTGAAGCTTATTAGATCTTTATAATCAAATAATAAACAAGCGTAGCAAGAAATTAAGAAAACATTTTAAAGTTAATATCTTTTGGCCTGCAATCTACTAATAAAATGCGAACAAATTGATTTTAAATCATCACAATCTATCAAAAAATTAATAGACCTTATTCTGCTCAACAACGATAAAAAAAGATTCCCACTAAGACTGAAAATTGAAATCCACATTGAATGATGAAAATTTAATGAAATATAAATTCATTTGGTTGCGAATAAAATTCAAACCTATTGGCGATTTTTTTGCCGCATGCAGCGCATTCACTTTGGTAGTCGATGACAAACTTCATACAACGACATCTACCTTTCTGCTGCCCCGAACGCTTTAATGCTGTATCACATATACTTCTATGAAGCATTGTCTGTAAAATTTTAAAGCACCATTAATTTCTTTTCTGTCGGAAATTAACTTTGTTTTTATTAAGGTGCTTTTACTGCTTAATTTAATGAATACATATTTTCCACTGAAACCAAAAGTTAGAAGTCTATATTTATTGATAATGCCTGGAACTACAACTCATGCAAGTTTATGCTTTTTTCTATACCTCAAAAAAATATTATGCTGGTGTCTAATAACAATTACCAAAACCACTGAAGCTTGTATCTTTTAACAAATTCATCCCCGATTATTGCATTCCATCTATTAAATGAAAATCTCTTTCTAAAATCGAATGAAAAATTAACTGCGAAAATTCAACGATTCTTATTCAATCCCTTTTATTTTTTCGCTAATTTGATAAAAGAATAAAGTAGACCAATAGATAAACTGAAAATAAAACCTGTATCTAGCAGAATATATCAATAATTTACTTGCTACTTACTGAATGTGCTTACAGTAATTTTTCTGTCATGTACATCTTGTAGAATAATTGATAAACCAGGCCAAACAGATTTCAATGTATAATCGTGAGGTAATAATGAGACAACTTCCACTAAAAATAATATTCTGCAAAGTTATAGAGAAGCTAAACCATAATTTAAATAGAACAACAATGAATAACACATAACAGTTAAGAAAAATTGGTGACAAAAAGGATTAAAAATTATCTAAAATGTATTTTGTATTCACTATTTGCATTCATATCATGAATATATTTTATGAAATACATTACTGATTTAATGATTCAGGAATAGAATAGCTTTCTTCTGTTTATTTCCTACTTAAGCATAACTTTGAACTTGCTTCCAACAAAATGTCTATTTTTAATACAAAAATATATATCAGTGAAACAGTGAAAATTAAAACAGATACCGATACCTGCATCGAAAACATCATGATGTTTTTTTAAAATCCTAACTGCTTCCTCAGGATTGGGTATAACTTGACAGTGATCGCTTTGCATCAATCCTATGATGGATGTGTCAGGTGGGTCTATGTACATTTGAAGTAGAATTAAAAATATCTGAAAGAACTGATCTGCAGAAGAATGTTGAAATAACTACAACATAATTATGAAACCAATTAAGAGAATAATACAGTATCTGTACCCATTTAAGATAATCAGTAACTTGTATGAATCAAATTGACGTAACAAATCATCAAGTAAAATTTTTGAGAATAAACAAAGTGTTTAGCTTATTACCTTTGACCGCTCTGGGTCTTGAGGATCATAACAATCTACACAATATTTTTCTGCAGCCTTATAATTCTTCAATATTTGTGTATAAATAGCCAGTGCTTGTTGATGCCGTTTCAAACGTCCTAATAACATTGCTCTTTCTTCATATAAAGCTGTAAAAACATCAAGTTTGCAATTAATTTCAAAAATTTTCGACATTTTACAACTACCAAGATTGTAGTCTAATATTTTCTTAAGTGAAAAAATATGAAAGACTTACATTATACAAACATCACATCTCAAAATATCTAACAATATTGTAGAAGTTGATGAGTTATGAACAAGACCAAACATGATAATGTAAAAGTAAAAATGAAATAATTTACTATTGTGGCGCAACAGAACTAGCAATTTTTCGGGACTGTAAGCAACAGATGTTTGCAAAAAACGTTGAAGCTTACGCCTGTATTCACCAAGTTCCCCTTCTTCTTCTCCAGCTGGCGCAACATGCTCATCTTTAAAATTAATGACTATTAATGACGATTTTTTGATAATAATCCAAAAGCATTACAAGCCCCGTAAAAATTTTACATAACAGAACCAAATATCGAACCTCATCGTTTTTATGCATCGAAAGTATTAAGCAAATGATCACCTTCTTGAAGAACATTGATATAATCACGTTGTAACTGCTTTACTTTTGCAATGTAATGTTCACCCAAAGCTCCATGAAATTTTGGCGAATCCTCTTCCCATTCATAAATTATATGTTCCTAAATATCTGATAGGTTATAAAAGTTTTTATCGAGTCTTGAAACTGAATTACTGTGTTTCAGAACTAACCAAATATGGAATTACAGCAGCAATACATTCATGAGTCAAAAATTTCAAAATTCGTCCTCGATCTAATGATCGGATTTCTGGAGTATCATGGATGAAGATCTGGAAATGTTTGAAACAGAAAATCAGCTTTGCAATTGTTTGCTCTCTTTTTTAATATCAAAAAACAATGAAAATAAAATTTGCCTCAGCTCTAAATAATGAATTTCTATTATTTGAGACAGTTAAAAATGTCCAAACTGCACAAAAACTTTTACCGAAAGACCTGTATTAAGATCTTCTTGTAAAACCCAAGCAGAATATTGAATAATCAAATCCAAATGACTGCTTCCGAGCTTCTGTAGATATTCTACTGTCATCTTGCAACCTCGTAATTGGCTTCCTTCTACATGAGCTTGTGACATTAGCAAATTTAATGCTGTAAATGATTGCATACATCAGTATAATGAAAAGCTGAAACAATGTGCCAACATATTTTTTACAAATTTTGTAAAATAAAACTGTGAATGAACTTAAAATAACCTTAAAGAAGCTTCTTAATAATTCAATCCAAAGCATAACAATTATTATAAATACAGTGTAGTGCAAAGAAAACAATATATATTTCATATTACGATGTCACAATGAAATAATCACAGCCCATTTTGAAATTGAAAACACAGTACTCAAGAAAATTGAACAAAAAGACAAAACATACCTTTTTGATGCAATGCCTTCTTTTCATACAAAATATACAGTTCATAGTACTTTCGACGTTCCAGCAATACTTTTTCCGAATCAGCTAATATGCACATGTTATCCGGAAGACGAAGAAGTAGTGGAACTAAGCTTTCATTGGTCTGAAGAACAATTAGATCTTTTTTGAGGTTCCAATAAACTCAATTTAAAAAAATGAAAAACTATTAAATATGGCTTTACTTTAGACGAGGAAGATATCTTTAAAAACTTCAGAAAAGTATAGAAGTATTCTATTTTTTAAAATTACTTATGAATTTCACTAACTCGAAATAACAGAAATCATATCATTCAAAAAACATTTCTAGGTTAATACTTTACACATCGTCGAAAATGCAATTAAATCACCGACTGAACTTGTTTGCCTCAAAGTCAAGTAACATTAACTATTAATAGTTCTAAAAATTAGCCTGTTGTATTTCTCATAATTTCTATTTCACATAAACAGTTTGAGAAAATGAACTAATGCATTATAAAAACTACAATTGCTTCAACAAACAATAAATTATAACACAGGCAACAAACCTGCAAGTAGCACTTTAATAATGTAGTGTCAACTACTTGCAAAACATTCTCATGGCTTCGTAACTGCTCTATTATATTGGAATCTGACAAAGATGGATTCCGGAATTTTTTAATTTCAGTTACAGACTTCGCATGTTCCATCCGTATCTAAATTATTTGTAAGCTTAAATTATTCGTATGCTGAACTTCACTCAAAAATGTAGTTTAATACAACTCGAAAATAAAAAACACACAGAAGCTAGAAACGGAGCCAATGACTGCAATCCACTTCTGAATTCATTTTCAGGAAAATCTGGTGGCTCTTCCTCAAGTAATGATTTCAACGAATCCTGGTACGTAGAATCCAACAATCGTGGAAAATGTGCTATTACAGTCATAACATCTACAAGAATAATATTTATAAGCATCATTCAGTCTGGTAAAGTTCAATGTTTTAATAACAAATGTTGTTTTCCCTGATAATGGATGAATAATTTAGAAATATCTACATATTTCTCAAAAGATTAATTTATGACAGGTTTTCTTGGCCACTCACTGGCTAGTGTAAGAACTGACCAGTTTTAATCTGTGCATGTATTTCAAGCCATTCATCAAATCTACGTTGACAGAATAAATTGAAAGCTGCTTTACGTTTTATTTCAACAACTCCTTTATCACCAATTTCGCAGCATTTTTCCTAAAAACTTCGGAATAATTCAGATATTTCTATAATATCAAAACCAACTTCTTATACTTCAAGTAGTACAATACTGATACTATATGAGATTTCTACGATGACGTAACTTCAGCATTTTTAGCTTGCCTAAAAAAGCAAAAATCATGTCATAAAAAAAACCGCTAGCTGAACAGCTAATTCAAATTGTTTTTCACGAATTAACTGTTCCACATTATTCATCATTTTAGGTCGCGAATCTAAAAGCCATACATCGCTACAGCTTCCAACATATACAGTACCTCTGCAAGGATAACGTGGCAATTTTTCAAAATATATTTATCTCAATATCAGTTAATAATTAAAGTAAACGGCTAATGGATGAATAAAAAATTCAAAATTTCCTAATTAGAGAAATCCAACCTACTTCAAACCAGCTGAAATATATGCTGCTTTATTGAGCTGGATAGTTTGTATATGTGTTGTTGGTCTTAATGACCTTATCTCAATTCTGCCTTTTTTCATTAAAGCCAACAAATAAGGAGCATCATATACTGCAAAAATTTTTAATGTTAATCTCTTAAAACTTTTTGCTTGTTGTTTCAAGCTGTCCATATATTATTATGGACAGCTTGAAACAACAAAAGCGCTTGGTGCTAAATAAATGTGGGCGTTAGTTAGAAAAGTTGCACTGAAAAAGAATGACAGAATTAATCAAAGATAAAGTCTTTAAATCAAATTTTAATAAAACATACCAATATTTAGAGGAGTATCTGAGAATTTCACTTCTGACATTGGATTCACAGTTCCATAATATTCTTGGAAAAATAAGAAATTGTCACGACAATATGCAATAAGCTTATGATCAAGTAGTCCAATGATTACTGGATTTTCCGTTTTGGAACCGACGTCGAACAATTTTTTTACATTCACGACATCTTCCTGATAGCTTTAAAATGATACTAATTTCAGGATAAACATCTATTGCTAGTTCTTTTATTATTATAATGAATAAATTATAATTTGTCATATCTAATTAAATTATATAAAATGCTGCATTAAAAATTTTCAATTTAAGTAGATCATACCGCGAGTGGAAAAACAGCCATATAATAATACTCATTTTGTGAAACCATTGATATTATTGGACCAAACCAGGTCATATAACTGACAGGTTCAGGAAATGATGCTAAAAAATAAATTTATTATATTAATAAGTACTGTACCAAATCTAATACAAAAGACTGCTTTCGAAGTATCAGCTAAAAATTCGAATAACCTAGAGACATATCGAATTCCATCCTAGTAAACTCATCAACAACCCATTTGTATAAAAATATCTTTTTTCTAGCACTAACAGCCACATATAGTAACCCATCAACCTGCAAATATTTTCATATATTTCAAGCGTAACACAAATGTTTACAAATTCATTTCGTAATGTATTCAAAATATCAACAACAAAAAATCAAAAACATACACTGATTTTTTTCAGTAATAGTATCTTTTATAAAAATGAATTTCAATGAGGTAAAGTAAACAAAAAAAACATTTAGCGATCTTATCAAGCAAAATAAAAATGAAACCTCAGAAACGGTGGCACAGAAAGCTGAGATAGGTCTAACATCAGAAATAAGAGCTTTCAGAGCGAATGGCTCAGAAAGATCATGTACTGCAAGTTGCGAATCCGTTAAGCACAGTAATATATCATGTCTTTCAATGCAGCATAACTCATACACTGATTTTTTTTCAAACGATCGACACATCAGCAAATCATATCCTCGTTTACCTGTCATTTTATTATTTACATCAAAAAATCACATAATAACTTGTCTTACTTTTAAAAATATTGCTCATCAGTAAGTATCCTTATATAAAAATCAACTTGTCCTACTTTTTTAGGCATTATTGATGAATTACAATTCACAAGACCTATAAAATTTTTAAAATTCATGTATCTCATTAATACAAAAAAAGGAAGTTTAACCTTGTCGAACTCCATTTAGAGCTACTAAATAACCAGCTTTACTTCCAAGATATACTTTAGCTGCATGGTCTGAAAAAATTCTCCCTAAGTAATAAAATTGACATTCAAACACTTACTACTTTACACTAAATTCTTCTAACAATTTTTAGTACTGAGCATTTTCCATAGTTCTCAAACATCTTGCATTCATATATGTTCATAGTTGCTAATTTCTTTGCATAAAAAATTAGAATAAACTTACTATGGGCTGCCAGAGATGCTACATCTATCGATTTCTCCAATTTTGAAGCTATTTCTATTGATGTATACGCCTCGAACATCTTCCCTCTTCACATATCTATCGCATAAGTGGTAACTGAATAACAATACTGCTTAGTAATTACTGCAAATATAAAATTTTTCTTAATTCAAATAAATAATCAATTGTATGATCATTTTATTGATTTGCATTAATCTATTTACTTTTTAATAATAAGACCTGTTTAATAATCAGTATATAAAGTCAATCAAATATTTTAATTCTTTAAATGATGTAATTTTTTAGATGATTTCCAAATGACTGGATTTTTTCACTCTCATAAATTGAAGCTAAATAGATTGGTTAATGCAAATTAAATTAAATTAAAAAACTAGCAAAATTCACTATAACTTTTTTACATAATAATTAAAAAAGGAAATTATTTACAAAAATTTAAAATAATGAAATTTACAAAGTATTTGAATAGAAAAAACACTTTGAGTTTGAAAATAAAGTGAGATGAGTAAAGTAAAGTAATGACTGACTTTTGAGTTAAATGTTTTACAAATATTCAAATTAACAAAATAATATTGCTTTTAAATAGTAGTTGGCACTAGCAGTTAGCCAAACCTTTTATTCTATAGCTATAACTAGTCAAAGTACATGGTATTTCAGATTATTTAGACTTGCAAGACACTATTTCACTTTTCACCAATATGCAAAGTTTTAACGGACCCAAATGAGTTGCATGAAAATTTTCCACTATTTAAGGAGGCTCTTTGAGGATTATTTTTGCTTGCTTGTTTGATCTAGGTTCCTTCTGGTCTAGCTCAGCCTAACTCTCTTAGATTAAAAGTATGGATTATTAGATATATGAAGTTTGGTAACTGGACTGCATAATTGTATAAATCTTTATTTTTTTTTCGGTTTTTTTTTAATTTATACTTTTGATATAGTTTGCTAGTTATTCAATGTTTTGTGAATGGTTCATACTGGGCATTAATTATGCTCATTTCTCTTCGTTATTCCTGTAATTCGTGTAAAAGCTGTATTGTTTTAATTCTTTGACCCTTTCAAGAATAATATCGATGTATGTTAGTGTAATTCCTTCTATACTTTTGCCCATTAGCTCTGTTGAAGAAGGCGCTAGAACTTACGATTATTTCATATGAAATCGATCATTTCAGATTAAGTCGTGTAATGCTTTAAAATTTAAATTAAATTTTGGAGGCGAAAGTATGGCGGATGTAGCGGTCATTAAGGATATTAACATTAAAACAAATGTTGTCAAACGCTTGATTAATGAACTGAACTTTTACAAGAAGGAGGTGGCGAGTGAAATGGACAAATTGCAAGCACTGAAAGGTAAGGGTGATGCGGATGAATATTTAATGAAGAAACAAATGGAGTTGGTTCAGGTACAAATCATTGCTCATTCTGAATTTATTCTGAATTTAAAGAATTTTCGATTGTATACAATCGATATTGTTAGTACAGTGTTACTTAAAAGTGTTGTGAAATTTTTTGGCTGAATAAAAGCTGAGATTCGCGTTGAATTTTTTACTTTATATCAGTATGTATCTATATTGTTTTTTGTTACGTAGTGGCTGTAAGTATAAGTCGTTAGTTACATACTTAGAGTTGTGAAATTGTCGTTCCTTAATAAAACTCCAAAACGCAGAAATAGCAGATAATCTATCAAAAATTTTACGCATTAAATTGATATTTGACGAATTTTATTAAAGTATATAGATTCTTTTGTAGGATTCAGAACAAATGGTACCCGAATGTAAGGGCCGATTGGAGAAGGCAATTGAAGATCTTAAAAATGTTACTTATTATTTTATAATTATTAAGCTAGCCAATTTTCATTTCTGTATTGGTTTAAATTACCGAAATAAATTTTGACTCATATAAAAAATGTACTGCAGAAGTTTGTCAACTCATTGTTTTGAACTTTCTGAGGCAACTCGGATGTTTTTTGTTGAAGTGTTTTTGTGCACTCATTACTACAAGTCAGTGATCGGTTCGCATCTGTATTAGTTGTATGTTTCAGGTTGTTGACAAGCACGATTCTGTATTGCAAGACACACCTGAATATACTACGGCAAGTGAGCAAATCGATGCAGGTACTAAGTTATGCTTAGAAGTTGTTGGAACTGTTCCGATGAATTGATTCTCACCAACTGTTGCTGTTATTCCTTCTGCTGTCTATGGGTTCAATGTCTGTAATTCGGAGTTAAAAGCTTCTTTGTTTGCTCTATATTACTATCTGCTTATCTCGATTCATAGACTTTGTTGGTATCTACATATAAAAGTAGTGCGGAGTTTGACGTTTATATTTATTCTAAAAATTCAATCTCGTCATATCAAAATCTCATATCTGATTTGTAACCAATCACACGATTTTATTGCTTCTTTCGCTCATAGCACTGTACAAGAATTATCAGTACTTATTAAAGTACGGAATAAATAGTAAAACTGTATTGCAGTTCTTGTACGAGGTTTCGGTGATGTTTTGCTTGCTTTCTGCCATGGAAAAAGACAATAAAAAATCTATGTCATATCGTTAGATATTATATTTATTACTGTTTGTTTTGCTTGTTTTTGCTTTTTCTTCCGAGACATACTGATCTCAGTTTTGTGCTGTGATAAAAGCAAAATACTTGTGTTCAGTCCTTTTCTACTATTCATTTCATATTTCACATCATGAAACGATTCGAAAATCCATTGCTTTATCGGGAATATTTCATTGAGTCAGTCTCTTTTTGAATGGGTTTGCACTAAATTTTTGTTTTCTACATGAGCAAAACCTGAAGTTGCTTAAATTGATATTTGCTGTATGGATTGAAAATGAAGTTCTCACGAATAGTATTTGTTCACATTTTCCAGATAAATATCTCGTAAACTAAGCAGTTGCAAATGAAGCCAGTATGTTACATATTTCTACTTAGATTGAGAAGAGTCTTTAAGCAGGGGAATACAATAAATCGCAAATATTGAAGAGAGATTTAGAAGCCAAGTACGAGGTTTTCCCTATATGAAACAAGCATTGGTGAGTGCATTCAGTTTAATTGAGGTATCAAAAATATTTACTGATGAGACTTCTGAAGACATGTGCAGAGGAGACTCATGTATATAATTATTATTTATGGATTTTAACTGTTTCATGAACAATATGCTTATATAACATTTATTGTAATGATACACTACACATCATTAGATAAAATGTCAACACGTTCCAGTCGATAAAACATTTTTATTATAGCTGCATATTGGTATTCATGTACAGAATGAAGTATATAATTAAGTTTATGACATTCTATAGATCATTCAATATAATTGACCAACTGACCTGTCCAAAACATTCATAGAAAAGAACACAATCTAAAAAAAATGATCATCATAAGTATATATATTGTGGAGTACACATATACTAGCGGATTACACCTTATTTGCAGTAAGATGGTAGGGTATCGATAGAAAACATCCTCTGCAATCTGCAGTAGTAAAATGTATTGTTCAGAATTGAATACAGACTGCTTAGAACAGTTATTATGTAGAGGGCATATAATATGGAGTAGCACATTTCAAGAGATACTGTGGAGTGAGAAGGTAGTAAATTTCATTAATTAATAAAATAACACTGAATAAAATGCGGACAATTATATAACTATTAAAAAACCGTACAGATTTGTACAATTCACAACACATTATGAGATTAAATAAAATGATATCTGGTGAACTTACACAATCTAATATTATCAACCATATACCGTCAATTCATAAAACTCTAACAGAATCATTAATTGGTCCTGAAATAATCTGTAAACTTGAATGAAATAATTTGTAAACTTTATAAAAATTTTGATGAAATTTGAGATATTCAGTGTTTTGTATAATTAAACAGTTCAATAACAAGCTTTCAGCTGAATTGAAAAACTAGTCTGATAATTTTATATATGTTCTTCATGAAGCACAGAACCAAGTATCAATTTAGTAAAAGACAGTGATCAGAAGACTCAGAAATGCACGTAACCTTTTACTGCATACATTTATTTCAATCATCATCGATAACCACAACAGATCCTCGATGACCCATATTACTGATAATAATTGTCTGCATTGCCTTTGAATGATCAGCAGATGATGAATAACTGCTAGAAGATTCTTGGAATACTGGACACGGTGAGATCGATCTCGAGTGTACTTCTGATGGTATTTGCTGATGCGATTTTTGCTCCTTCACGGTTCCATTCCTTGCTAATATAGCTTCATGTAGATTTTCCAACTTCATGTGCAGCCGCTTTAATCCAGCTTTTAGTGAAGGTGGTGCTGATAATCGACGATCTATTCGAGATTTTTTTGCATCACAATTTACAGATGCCATTGTTTGTCGACGAGTTGATAGTTCTTTATCAACAGTAAATAATCCTGGCTCATCCTGTATAAAATTTTAAATCAGTTAAATGATTCTTGATAACATTTGAGCAATGCATAACATCTGAACAAGATCTAAGCAACCATATATCAAAACTAATCATTAGTAAGTACTACGTTTAAATATGACAACATTCTTCATTATAACAGTTAAAGCTACTGACAACACCATCAATTATAACCTTGGTAAAAGTAGATAACTTATAGGATACTTAATTTTGTTTATTAGAGATACATTTATCAACCGCTTCTAAATACTACAGTCATGTATCAAATAATATGAAGCTTTAACAAATTTTTGAAAAAATTTACAACTTCATTCTAGTAAAAAACAAATGTTTTTCATTTTTAGAAATTACTGCACTCGTCCAACATTTTTCATCTACTGCATGTCGTCTGAAGAAAAACAGTGCCAGATCAAAAAACAAAACTTTCTCACCTACTATTTTTTTAACTTTCTTTCTTGAAAACAAGATTTTTATTTTTTCAAGCAACAACTTCACTGTTGTATCCTTGAAAAGTACGTACCTTAATTACTCATGAAAAAGTTGAAAAAACACAACTGATAATTATGATACATGTTATACTGCACTATCTAGTATTGCTAAAAAATCCCTGAAGCTGTAAAAAATGAATCTGATCTCATTTTTTTCAAAAACCGATCGATCAGTATAGATCAAATTTTATAAAATGATCTTATTATAAGAAATTATACCGCAACTCCAACTGCCAAACTAAGGGAGTGCTGTCGTCCAACTTGAGCTCTAGTGCTTTTACTATGATCGTTGCTACTTTTCGAGTTGAAATCCGGTGATCGGTTTATGCTAGCAAAATCGCCGAGCATATTCAAGAAAGCATTTGAAGCCATTTTACTTTTTGTCAGTATAATCGTTACAACGTTTCTTTAAAATACCAAATAATAATGAAAAAACAGTAATTATAAAGTAAATGAATCAATTACGCAGACGATATTTGAGCAGAGCGAAGTTTTTTGAAATCATTAATTAAATATCTTATAATCATAATAATAAACGGCTTGTTCACGAATTTTAAATTAATTAATTACTGTTTAGACTTTAAGATTACTCACATTTACAACTTACCTCATCGCAATTACTCATATCTACAACTTACTCATTGCAACTTTTTTTTTGAAAATTTTTAGCACTTAACTATAAATGATTACGTATTGATGACGATTTTTAATAAACTTACGCTCAATAATACACGTACTATTTATCTCTTCTTAAAATATAATTTAAAAAATATTAAAAAATAATTTCTGAAAATTCAAAGCACAATTTAAAGATCAGTTTTCATCGATCAAAGAATACCAAATGCAATGTATGACTACTGTGGCGTGAACAATTTACGTAGCACCTTCCTTCGAAAAAACTTTTTAAATAAATAACATTATGTAAAATAGCTTGTATTTATAACTTCATCCACACATATTCACTTTTTAAAAGTTCTGAATTGCTAATTTAAGCCAACAAATTTAATAACATTTTACGTGTGAAGCAATTCGCAAGTAGTACATGAAGTAAATGAAAAGAAATGAAGTTAAATACTGAAATACTTGTTTTTTTTTTCAAAGGAATAGGAGAGCAAAAGACCGGAAACAAGTTATTAAAATTCATAAATCAATTCACGCACTTATGCTAAAGTACGATTTTGGCGCGAATTATTCATTTCAACTCATTGCATTATTTCTAGGCAATAAACAATCATGCAAAAATAATTTAAAACATAAGTAATTCAAAAATAAGTAAATAGTTAAGATTATTTCTATTAAACTTTTCGACCACAATTTTGTTAAAATTATTTATTACGACTTAGAAGAAAAATACTTTTGTTTGAAATTTGAAATTATTTGAAAATTATTGGAAAAAAAAGGTTTTTGAATATTATTGTTTGAAATAATTTTAAAATTATTGTTTAAAAATTTTTGAAAATTACTGAAAGAAAAGGACTAAAAATCAGTTTTTAAAATGATTTATGTTCACTTTTCTTAACAAATGTTGACGGCTCGATTGGACGAAGAAAATTGCAAGAATATTCCTTACAATTATTATTATGATTATATTGCCATGTTTTATCATAATAATGTCGTGAATATTATATAAATATATATAATTAAAAAAGACATTGTAAATTAAAACTAACAAATTTTTTAAATCTGATTCTTTTAGCATATATGTCACTAATTATTTTCATTAATAATATTTAGTACTGAAATTAATTCCAAAAATTTTAATTACTTGAAATCTAACAGATTTAAATTACAGTTTACTACAATAAAATAGCTTCAAAAAAAAATCTTGCAGAAGTAATTTGATTAAGTATCCAGAATGAAAAATCCAAAATCCCATGAAATATGAGATGTGTTCATGTAACATTTCGATCATATACTGTAGTAGGAATTTATAATTTTATTATTATTTTTTGATAGTAATAATTTTTTTAAAGTTTTTTTACTGAAAAGAAATCTTTTAGATAAAATTATCTAAAGAGCTTATTATTTGATTCAAAAATTCCCTGTTGCAAATGAAAAATTTTTAGTATAAGCCATTAAATATGAATAAAATAATAGATTTGCAATGATGTCAGATAATATGAATAATAATCGTAATCGCTTAACGAGTACAATTACTAAGAGTATTAATAATGTAATAAATTATTGCTCATCATGTTATACAGCATCAAATATCAGCTAAAGATAATGGTAGTT